ATATATATATATTGCACCAAAATTAATATTATAAAATTAATATTCAAATATATTAATATTATAAAATTAATATTATAAAATTTTAATAATTTAAAGCATTCAAATTCATTTTTCAAAAAACTTTGTTTTTTAAGTTGTATCAAATTATTGTAGCAAATAAGCGATATACATGTATATTTTAGATTTTTTTATATATTTTTATTTATTTCGTTGTAAAGTGTACAATAACATTATACTAGTATAAGCAGTAGAGCTAAATGTTTTTATGTGTCACACGTCAAAAAAGCTTAAAACATCACCATTTTATGGCAAGGATCGATTGGAAATCTCTGATTACAGTTTATTTCCAGCGATGTACAAAAATAATGAAAACCGAAATAATCGCCGGCAGGCTGCGAAGTCTATTAAAGTCCATTAAAGATAGAATCTTATCGTATATCTCTCGCTCATAATCACGCCACTGTCGTGACGAGAGAGGCTTTATACTATTAATCAGAAATCCATGAACAGTTGTGATATCAATCGGCTATTGTTCACGCTTGTTCGATCGTCCACGGTTTATCCCGCATACGCGACACATCGCCATTGAAGTATGACGTCGAATGTGTGGGTGCGTTTAACAACGACGAACATGTACCGAAACGTTGATGTCTCATCTCTTTCTCTGATAACCGAGAATCGCTTCGATTACCAATAACAACAAGGCACAAGTTCACATTTGCGCACTGCAGAAGCAGCAATAACAAGAATAATGAGACGCTATTGCGGAAAAAGGAAATAATATACTTGTGCAAATGCAGTTTCCTGTATTTTATGTAAATTTCCATGCTCACTGACCGAACACAATACGCAATACCAATTTGTTTATTCTTTTACCTTTATAAGTACTTACACGGAAAGAAATTTTGCTGAAGTAGCTCTAAAAATTTAGCTAGACCAAGATATGAAAATAATTTTGTGGACCAGCGAAATAATCATGTATAAGAAATAATTATTTACAAAAATTGTAAATTTCCAATCATGTTTAGGTAATTTTCCATAAACATATAATTTCCATGTAAAATCACATGAATTTTTTTTAATGTAAGACACTCGAATTTGCTAGAATGACAAAACTTTTAAGAGCACTGTTCATCATGCTTGAAATTCCTACAATCATTTGGACGGTCCAACAAAATTATTTTCAGGTCTAAAATCTATCTAGCAAAATTTTGAAATACTTTAATAAATTTTTCTTTCCGTGTAACAGTTATTCTCTTCAATCTAACTTAATATAAACGAAATACATAATTTATTTTGTTTTTGTACCTTCTTATTTTTAAATTTGGAAAGAATAAAGAGTCACAATTAAACTAGAGCTAAAAATAGCCGATACTAAAGAAATCAATATTGGAGGAATCGATTTAGAGAAGAATGTTAATAAGTAGCCGAAAATAGCTCTTTGATTTCCAGGTTTAGAAATATATTTGTGACTGATTCTCAAATGAGACTTCTGTCGAAATATCATTCATTTAATTCCACTTAGATTTAGACAAATGATAATACCAATTAAAGTTATGTTCTATTTATATTTAGCGTTTAATGAAAATTCGCGATTCCTAATCGCTTGTACTTAATCTTGCACATCATCGACGAGACAAACGCATGGCAGCACGATAAAAATAATTGTGACGCTATAGAATCGGAATCGAACAACGACGTGTCTATATTACGGGCTTGCACAACGTGATGCAGATTCTAAAAGCGCACAACTACGTCCGCACGTATCGACCATCAATGCGAAGTTTGTCGAACGCGTCGTCGACTTTACTAGCACTTGAGAGATTCTCACGATGTTGACGAGTTCCACGTTTCAAACAATATACGCCGCTCGATGCATATTTCTCGCACGTGTGTGTTAACCGAGGTCGTGTCAGTTTGATGTACATGATCCCACGGAATAGCAAAGATTACTACCTATCGGAAGGCTGACTCTTCCGTTTTAGCTCGCGATAGCGCGGTGGTTTTCAATCGACAATCGTGGGAATATCCGTGAACGCGCGCAATATGCTGCTTTCCGCGATACTTAATGTCAGATTTCGCGAAAATATCAAGTCTCGACGTCGAGCGTTAAGAAATACTGTGAAAGTAAATATACAGAAAGCATTTAAGAACTTCGTTGGCTCTTCGAGCTAGATAGTTTATTGCAAGCAAAAGTTGCGTTAAAATTTGGAAAACAATTTTGAAATTCACTTGAATCTAAATAATTACATTTAAATTCAAATCAGATTTATCATTTAATCACACAATATATGCGTTTGATTTATGAAAATTCTTTTCATTTTTGATCATTTTGATTGTAATTCCAGGAACGTATTAGAAATTGCATTATGACAAGTCAACCATTCTTTCTGCGATTGAACTTAAGGAAAGTTCCAACATACCACATGAATATATCTAAGCAAGCACGTAACAAGCGTGCACGTATACCTATAGTGAATTAATAGAGCATAGTAGTTATTGAATAACATTTTAGCTCTTATGTCTATATTAACCTGCATGTCCCAAGCTGGTCTATCCATTATAATTCTCCACAAAGGATACGTTAAGGATATGAGATCCATTCCAATAGATTAATTTAATAACATTGCTATTAATCCATTATCATATATGTATATAAGAATTTGTTTGATACACACAGTGTATGTATATATATACTGATAAATCTAAGAAAATGTTCAATTACTTCAAATTACGTTACTTAAAATAATTGTTTGGACAACATCGCAAGAGAATACAAATGTATTATGTGATTAATGAGACGTATTATGGGAGTAAAATTAATTGAAGAAAATTGCATTTTAATTATTATACGTAATTACTAATTAATACGTTATATATAATTTCACCTACTTTTTGTATGTTTTTTACATCTGAAGATGATTATTGTATAAATAATAATATATTATAATAAATTAATATATTTATAATTTAACTTTTAACTTTTGCATTTATATTTATTATACCTTTTATATATTTTATTACCTCTATTCATTTTTTGAATGTTTTTAAATTAAGCCAAGTTTAAAAATATTCCCATACCGCGTTAACTATATAATTTAACTTATTTTTCAGGAGAGGCTTTTGCTCAGCGTGTTACCAAGGCATGTCGCCATGGAGATGAAAGCCGATATAGCCGGAAAGCCGAAGGACACAATGTTTCACAAAATTTATATTCAAAGACACGAGAACGTCAGGTATGTGATGCCAATGGTCCGCGAACAAATAGCAGCGACTTAAAACGCGCACCGTAAAAAGAACTAAAGTGCCACTTTGACATTTTGCAAATGAAACCCAGTTTTGCTTTGTTATAAAGCTCAAAAAAATTTACATAACTACTTTATACATTATGTCCTTTATGCACGTTTGCTACTTAAACTGAAATTCACAGCAGATTAAACATCATAATCCTTGCTCGTGGCTTTTTATGCTATCGTAAAGTTTGCATCTTTTTGGATTTTAAACTCGTTGTAAAGTACCTTTACGTTTGATCAAACGCAGTCAGTGATGAATCACAAATCAAAAGCACGTACACAGAAAGAACAGTTTATTGAAGTATCTGAAAATTTAGCTAGATACAGGTCTGAAAATAATTTTGTTGGATCATCAAAATAATTATGTAGAACATTCAAAATAGTTGCTAGAATGTTAAAATTTTTCAACATGTGCTTAAATATCCCGCATAATTATTTCAATTATCTAATAATAAAATTATTTTGAGATCTGTAACATCTGTAAATTTTTAGATACACTACTAAAGAAAAAAAAATTATTTATTTAAATAAATTATTTATTTAATTAAATTAATTTCTTTGACTTTATTTCTTTCGTTGAAAAATGTAAGTATTTAATTCCCATTTTAAAACCCGTTTTTACGATAAAGATTAACTTTAATCTTGATTTAACTTACTTTTTATTTTTTTCTAGTTTTAAAAATTAAAAACGCGAGAAAGAATAAATTAAATCAAAAAATTAAAATTAATCTATAATACATTGGTAAAAATAAATATAAATCAAATATAATATTATGAGGGCGCTTCGTATTTAAAGTTCAAATATAATATATTTAACTTAAATAAATACATTCTTCTTCAAAAGAAATAAAAATGAGCTAAATTAATTTAGTCAACAATTTTTTTTCTCGGTGTATCTTTTTCAGCAAAATTATTCTTTCCATGTATTTTAATACAATTTACATCGTTATTACAATATTGTATCATGAGGTTATTATTAGATACAAATAATTATGCAATATTGTGAGCGCATTATGCAGTATGTATGAGATGATATGCTTGATCGTCTCATAATACAGTAACGCCAGATGCTTCAACTTGACGATTTATCACGGTACAGTGCACGCAACATGATAAGTACACGTGGTTGCATAGAGAGAATTCTGGATTGGTCTGAAGTGGGTTGAGATGTTACATCCAATCTCTCGTATCAGACGTCTCACCAAGCTCGGATCAATCTAACTTAATTCGCAACGAGCAAACGTCATGTTCATTTAACTTTACAGAGTTTCCACGAACTTGTGACAATTTTTCGTCCCTAGTTTCCCCTTTCCCAAATATTTAACGCGACATTTTCCCGTTTGAGGCAAAGTAATTACAGAACTGTTGACAAAAGTGCTTATTTAGAAATTGTTTGTATCAAAAATTAATTTGAAAATTAACTTAATTGAAATAACTGACTTTATTATTAAACATTTCAGCATTTTGTTCGCCGATATTTGTGGATTTACCTCGCTCTCCGATCAATGCACTGCCGAAGAGCTCGTCAGATTGCTCAACGAACTTTTTGCACGGTAAGAAATGATAATAAAATGAAAGAAATATTTTTAATACTAAATGTATAATAAAATCAACGCGTAACGGATAAAATTTTGAAAATATGATCGATAAATCTCAAAAAACCCGCCAAGCTATTTTATCACAATGCATTTATCATGCATTCAAATCCTCTTTTCTATTTTTATATACTTTATTCAGAAAACGTTTAGAAGCATAACGGATTATTATGTCTGTGATATACATATATTTCCACCTGTTCGACTCGATCAAAATATAAATTTCTTTCAGTTTCTCTCAATACGATCCTGTTGTCTCTGATCTCTTGAGTCTTGCAAATATTCTTGTTCTTCCAACCCACACAGAATATCTTTTGTACATCAGCGAATACAAATCCCTTTTGAAATCGCGGACAGTCTCGCGGACAGATTATGCTTTGTCAGTTTGACATCAATTTAACATTAAAATGTATTTACATTTCTCAAACTACGTTCACGTTATCGTAAAACTAAATTAATATGTCAAAAACTTTTCTTGGTTTTTACTTACAGAAAGGTAAATTTGTTGAACTTCAATAATATAAAGTATTTTTAATTCATAGAAAAACTATATTGATAAAATAATATTTTATGAACATTAAATCACTTTTTAGGTCTATATTTATTGAAACTTCGCTCTTTATCGCTGATGAACATTGTCAATCTGCTGCGTTTGTATGTAGAGTTTCTAAACCCTCTTAACTCTTACAGCTTTGCTCGTATTCCTTATGTTCTACCAACGCTCGAGTCTTTTGACAGCTATAGATCCGCGTTTCTAGTAACTTTTCGGGTCAATAGGGTGTACTTATCCTACTACCAAGAGGGATTTGCTAAGAGGTCATAAAGGCTTTCATTCCTCGCGATGATGCCAGCTTTCATATATCAGTACAGCCAAGATCACTTTCCGGGATTTTGTGAATGTAACACTTTCATCTCTACGAGAGAAGACAGAAATATCCCTTTCGACAAAAATACTCAAAAAAGAAAATAAGGAATACAAAAGATCGTTTAAATATCGTTGAACTTTCATGAAAAATATATGAAAAATATAAAATGATAATTCTGCGAAAAATATAAGACGATAATTCTGAGATCATTAAAAAATTA